GACTTTTTCTTAGAAATCTTACCACTGGGGATGAGATGATGCGAGGAAGGTGTGTGAATTCAATTCAGTTCTTTTAAGCACAACAACAGTTGCCTCAAGGCACTTTATATTGTGTGCTAAAGACCATACAATACGGCTAGGAAAACAGAGTAAACCCGAGCAATTAGATGAGCCCCTACAAGCAAGGGCTTTGACGACAGTGGGAAAGAAAAACTCCCTTTTAGGAGGAAGAAACCTCCAGTAGAACCAGGCTATAATAATTTTGTCAAGCCTGAAATGTTAAAAAAGCACTTCAGTGCTGAAGAAACCTGATTCAGCTTCGTATATTTTAATAAACTGATATTAACAAATATATTTGGCTATCAGACATTTGTGGTGGTTAAATCAGTAATAAGCTATTACTGTATATGTGTGCGTGCGTGTGTGTGTGTGTGTAGGTCCATGGCCGGTGCATGTGCAATCACAACACTGAGGGACTGAACTGCGAGCGCTGCCAAGACTTTTATCACGATTTGCCTTGGAGGCCTGCTGAGGGACGAAACACCCACGCCTGCAAGAGTAAGAACACAAACATGGAAAAGTCTGTCTACAGCTCTCAGCTCTTTAAACTCAGAGTAAGATCTCCACAAACATGATGACAGTACTGACAGCAAACAGGGAGACTGACAGTCAAAGAACGCTTAATTGATATGTGTAGGATAATGTTTTAACCACAAAGGAAGCAGTGAAACTTCCAGGGGTAAAAAATGGTTTGCGTATTTTAATTGAATGTAAACTTTTTAATTGGTAGTAAAGTTATGAAAACACTGAAAATGTGAACAGGAAATGTGCTCTTCTGTTTTCAAAGAAAACTCAAAGTCTACGTTTCACTTTCCTTCTTTCTCAGAGTGTGAGTGTAACCAGCACTCCACGTCGTGCCACTTTGACCTGGCCGTGTACGTGGCGTCCGGCAACGTGAGCGGAGGCGTGTGTGACGACTGTCAGCACAACACGCTGGGCCGACAGTGCGAGCAGTGCGCGCCGTTCTTCTACCAGCACCCCAGCAGAAACCTGAGGGACCCAAACATCTGTGAACGTAGGTCACTGCTATGCAACCGCAGTTCAGTCGATCATGAGAGAAAACATGAAAACATCTGTTATAAAATCAGAGTAAAGAATTTGTAAGTTTGGAATAAGCTGCAAAAAATCTACTAAATTGTCCTTAGTGATATCAGAAGTGATGCTACAAACTACATCCTGCTACATATGATATATTTTTGATATCTTTGGCATATTGAGCCTTATACTGTGGTGTCCATTCCTTTTTTAATCTCTTTAATGTCTTTTTCTTCTCTCTAGCCTGTAACTGCGAGCCTTCCGGTTCTCTGGAGGGTGGCCTGTGTGACCCGAGGACAGATGTGATTGCCGGGCTGATCTCAGGTCAGTGTCGGTGCAAAGCCAATGTGGAAGGAGAGCGCTGCGACCACTGCAGACAAGGACACTACGGGCTGGGACAAGGGCCACATGGCTGCCTGCGTAAGTCAGATTATACGCTTTCTTATGAAATCGTATTAAAGCAAAGGTTAACACAAGGAGATGGAATAAAATGCTACAAAATAAAGTGAGTTAATTCGTAATTAAACCCTGAAAAACCGAGCAAACCTTAAACTAAGGTTAAGGTTGTTGGTATGTTGGTGAAAACTCTAAATATGTCGATGGTCCCAGATCCAGATGAATGGGAGGTTAGATCAGGACGGGCATCCTGTGCAAAATCAGCCAAATCACACATGTGAATCCATCCGCTGTGCAAATAATAATGCAGCACAAAGTTCTTACTTCCTATATAATCTATAGAGAAGTCCCTCTACCTTTTAAAATTCAAATAGATCATAGTATATTAAATATACCCTAATTTCAGCATGTTAATATGTACATTTGTGGAATTTTAGGGTAAAAAAATTGAAGTGATTTGGTTCGAGGAAGACAATAATAATAAAATATCATAGTAATACCACAGAACTTCAAATGAAAATAGACACAAACATACTCAGTATAGATAAACATACAGTAACTACAGTCAGACAGGCTGATGCAGTTTATCCTGTTGCTTCGTTTTGTGTTTTGGCAGCTTGCACCTGTAATCCGCTGGGAATGCTGCCAGGAGGAAAGCCGTGTGATTCAGACACAGGACGCTGCTTCTGCAAACGACTCGTCGAAGGACACAACTGTGATCAGTGTCGGGTACGGATCCACGCTCACTCTGGATACCTTCCTCTCTGCCTTAGTGCACTTATTACTCATAAACATCTGCTTTCTGCTTATACAGCCACAGCATTGGGGTCTGTCCAATGACATGGATGGCTGCAGACCATGTGACTGTGACCAGGGCGGGGCTGTCAACAATGAGTAGGTGTAATTAATGATATTAAAAACATCTGTGTTTAGTTTTAGCAATATGACAGGTCCCTATAAGTGGGTCATTTCATGCCAGCTGACCAAATGTTTCCTTCATCACAAAAATGTTTTGAGCATAAAATGACCCTTAATTTTTGGAAAAATGTCCAATAAAGCAGTTTTCATATAAGTCTGCAAACAGGCTTTTTCACTGCTGTAAAGTAAAGCGTTTTGTGTCTTTGGGATTGGCTTGTTTTTTAAGACAGCCTCAAGTGGCCAGGTTAGGAACTGCAGTTTATGGTTGCATATTTTCACCTCCAGAAGTTTCTGTTTGCATGTGACTCAGGCCACTTCTTAACCAAAGTGAAGGTCTATGCTAGACAGATGCATGTTTCTATATTAGTTATTTTTATTAAAATACATTTTACAATTGTACATGGAGGCAAGAAGAGATTACCATTGACCATTAAATAGAACAGCTCCTGCAGAAAGATGTGCAGCTGTTTTGCCTCTAAAGAAGAAAGATGTCTAACAGGAAGCAATGAAATTAATGGAAGATCTCACCATTTTCATTAAATTATAAACAAGGAAAAAAATAGTTTAAGCATGTGGATGTGTAAAACTTTGTCTTTCTTTTTCCGACCTGCCATCTGTCCACAGCTGCGATCCTCACACGGGACAGTGTGTGTGCAGGGAGCACATGTTCGGGCGCCGCTGCGATCAGGTCGAGTCCGGCTACTACTTCATGGCTCTGGATCACTACATATACGAAGCAGAGGACGCCAAGCGCGGCCCTGTGAGTGTGTTCACATCGGCTTGTGGTGCTTTTTTTTCCCTCCAGATTTGTGAACGTTTGTTTCCCCATCAGGGCGTGACGCTGGTACCTCGGCCCTATCCTGAAGGTCGGAGTCCTACGTGGACTGGTATGGGCTTCGTTAATGTGCCAGAAGGAACCTATCTAGAGTTCAGCATCGACAATATTCCCGAGTCCATGGACTATGACATCCTTATACGCTATGAGCCACAGGTAACACAAATGATTTGCATATTTCAGAGTCAGTTATTGCTCCATGACCTTTTGAAAGAACCTTTGTCACTAACTTTTTATGGTTTCTTTCTTTACTGAACATTTTCCTAAAGTTTGGTCGAATATTTTTGCGTAATCTTTTGAGCAGACAGACAAACAGGCAGAAAACTCGTGCAAACGTCAATCTCCTGTCCTTTCCGTCATTAATTAAATGAAAATATTCTCTACATAAACCCTGAGTTATCTAGTTCATCAATAAGTGTTGATAAATATGAAGTATGTGACAGCTGTTTGCCAACTGGAATACCATTGTTTAGAGAAATATCTAATCAGCCAATCACATGGCAGCAACTCAGTGCATTCAGGCATGTGCTCGAGATGACCTGCTGAAGCTCAAATTTAAGTTACTTTCAACATGACATGGTTGTTGGTGCCAGACGAGCTTCTCAGAGTATTTCACAAACTGTCGATCTACTGAGATCAGCAGTACACCGCACAGCCATCTCTAGAGTTTACAGAGAACGGTCCGAGTAAGAGGAAACATCCAGTGAGCGGCAGTTCTCAGAGGAGCATTGCCAGACTGTTTCAAGTCGAAGGCGACAGTAACTTAAAAAAAACACTCGTTACAACCAAAGTATGCAGAAGAGCATGTCTGAATACTACAGCAGCAGAAGACCACACCGGGTACCTCTCCTGTTAGCTAAGAACAAGAAACTAGGGCAATAATTCATTCACCAAAGTTGGACAGAAGATTGGGAAAAACTTTGCCTGAATGCCAACTATCTCTTTTTCATGAAACATGTGACACAGGGTAGCCTATGGACAGTTTATTTGAATAAATACACTCAAACAGAAACAAAGACGGAGGAACGATGAAGGAATACCACATGTATGTTTGTTTGTCGACAGCTACCGGAGCAATGGGAGGAGGTGAACATCCAAGTGCAGCGCCCCGTCTTCAACCCTCCAAACTACTCCAGTCACTGCAGTAACTCTTTCCAGAGCGGAGACCAGCAGTCGATCTCTCTTCCACCTGGATCCAGGTAAAACATTCATTTACTGTACACTGAACATGCTCACACAGACACATAAACTAACTCTGTGTGTGTGTTTCAGACATGTGTTGCTGGTGAGGCCGGTGTGTTTTGAGAAAGGGCTGAACTACACGATCCAACTCAATCTGCCTCTCTATTCGTCAGTCAGCACCGTCCAGAACCCGTACACACTCATCGATTCGGTATGTGGCTTTGCACACAAACACACACCTGTTCAGACAGGTCCTGCCTGTACTCCAGGACCTGTCCTGCTCAGATCGTACGGCTCTCTTGAAATGTAAAAACTTAAGACCACGGACACTCATTTTCTAAAGCAGTTGCTTTAGGAACATTTCATGTCCTTCCAAGCCAGTGAAAGCTCCAACTGTTGGTCCATAGTGGCCCTCAGTAGCTCCTTACACTCTTCTCTGTTTTTAAAGGTGGTGCTGATGCCCCGTGTCAGAGAGCTAGAAATGTTCCACGGAGACGTGGGAGAGCAAGCATGGGATACGTTCCAGCGCTATCGATGTCTGGAGAACAGCCAGAGCATCATAAAGAGCCCCATGACCGACATCTGTAAACAGTACATCTTCAGTGCCTCTGCCTTGCTGCACAAAGGAGCCATGGGTGTGTAGTTCATCTTCATCTTCAGATTGTGAAGATGTTAAAAATTGTTCCTGCTTCCACTCTCATCACCTTTCCCCCCCAATCTCATCCCTCAGCTTGCCAGTGTGACCCTCAGGGTTCACTCAGCTCCCTGTGTGACCCCAGTGGCGGTCAGTGCCAGTGCCGACACAACATCGCAGGCAGAAACTGCGACCGTTGCGCCCCGGCTACCTTCCTGTTCGGCCCCGCCGGCTGCAGACGTGAGTGCAGCTGAAGTTCAATGCCGACGTGTTCATCTTCAGTTTAGATGTTTACTTTAATCCTAATCCCTTCACCCCCACAGCTTGTAACTGTGACCCCCTGGGCTCTGTCAGCCCCTTGTGCCACGAGGCCACCGGCCACTGCGAGTGTGTTCCAGGGGCCACGGGTCGCCAGTGTTCACACTGCCTGCCGGGCTTCTGGGGCTTCCCTCATTGCCGACCGTGCCAGTGTAACGGCCACAGCGAGTACTGCCACCCTCAGACTGGAGAGTGTCAGGGCTGCAGAGACTTCACCACCGGACACCACTGCGAGAGGTGAGGATGTGAATGTAGATGCAGTGGTGGTAGCTTAAATCTGCTAATACTAGTGAGGTAGAGACAGATATTATAGAGATTCAACATAAAAGAATTAGTATAATAGCTTTTCAAGGGCCTCAAAGCTCATTTCCTTGGTCAAGGAAAAAGGGAGATTTAACCATTAAACCCCAATGTGTGGAAAGGAGTGTAGATGTCTAAAAAAAAAGGTAGCAACATATAAGGACAGCAGAAGATAGCATTTCTTAGCCCACAGTATTTGTCAAATTTGAATTAAAGATGAGAACAATAAGCACAAGCATCAGTTACAAAAAGAACAGGACAAAAAACCTGACTTCCTCAGCTAATTCAGTTTTCTGCCATTTATCCCTGTAAACCCTGAACCATTAAAGAATTACCAGAAAATTGAATTTGACAGTGTTTATGGGTTATAAACACTGTTATTAGTGAGTGTTTATTGAACCTTCTTACAGAGACTATTTTCTAGAAATGAAATTTATATATTCTTGTGCAGTTTCATTGCTTAGAAAAGTTAATTGTGCATTTTATTCCGTTTTTTTAAGGGAAAAAACACTCCAATCATGCAGAAATCTTAAAAAACTCACAAAATCTTATGCATCAAATATGACACACTTGGCATTACAGGGTTGAAAATAAAAGAATAAACGTTTCATTTGGGTTTTTTTCTTGTGTAACACTGCTAGTGATGAAGACACTTCAAATAAAACTTCCATTTCCTTTTTTTGCCGTTCATAATTTAAAGTTTCAGGTTGTTATCTCAAGAATTTGGCCTATTAACTCAAACTTCTGAGAAAATGACCTGAAAATAAAGAAATCCTGAAATTTCTAGTTAATAAATCAAAATGTTCAGTTATGGATGGCAACATTTTTATTTTATATTATTTACTTAGTTTTTGAGCAGCGGAAAGAGGCTTATAAAGATTATTATTATTATTATTATTATTAAGTTGTCTGAGGAAAACTGCACAGTGCTGGAGTTGTGGATCTGCAAGCCGCTTTGCAACCCATCCAAACCCAGCTCCTTCTCTCCTGTGTTGAACTGAGTCTATCCGATGTAATTTTAAGGCAAAATTATATGAATGCAGCTATATGGGACGTTGCAGTTTGGGCAGACATTTCTTCAGTACTCAGGTGTCTCTCAGAAACAGTTGATTTTTACTAACCTTTTCCTTCCAGATCTAAACTGAAGGATCCATTAACACCTTTTCTTCTGCTACCAGGTGTTTGAGCGGTTACCATGGTGACCCAGAGCTGGGTTCAGGCGGATACTGTCGCCCTTGTATGTGTCCTGATGGGCCACGCAGCAGACGCCAGTTTGCAGACAGCTGTTACCTTCTGCCTAATACCAATCAGCTGGTGTGTGTGTGCGGCCGCGGATACAAAGGCATGTAAACACAACACTTCACAGATTTGTTTTTATGTAAGCGGGGCTCAGGTGCAGTTTTTGTCAACATGTCTTCACGTCACACACTCATCACAAGTACAAACACACTTCAGTAGTCTGTAATTAGCGTGCCAGACCTCAATCTTTAGATTCAAGAGGAAAAGAAAAGCAACAAACTTGAGGTCTCATGTACGATACCATACCAGCTGACTTGTCTCCTGCATCCCTTCCAGGTGTCAGGTGCGACGAGTGTGCCCCGGGTTACTTTGGGAATCCTCTGGTGCCCGGTGGGCGCTGCATGCCCTGCCAGTGCAACAACAACATCGACATGCACGACCTGGACTCCTGCGATGCTCGCACCGGCGCCTGTCTCAAATGCCTGTACCACACCCAGGGCGACGGGTGCCAGCACTGCAAACTGGGTTACTATGGCAATGCTACCACACAGAGCTGCAGGAGTGAGTACAGCTGAACACGATTCATCATATTTATTGTTATCCAAAAATATATTTGTTAGTGCTTCCTGTGTGTAATGCCGGTTTCACTTTCCTGCTAAATAATTGTAGCCACAGCCAGAAGGAGGCCAGTACACATCCTCCCAGTCTTGGTGCATGTGATTACAGTGACCTCTGACTTTTGTAGTAGTTGTATCAGTAAATTGGCAAGATGTCGTCCTAATTTGGGTACCGTATGGCTGTTAGCTTTTACTTTATCTAAGTTAGTCTGACCATTTGGGACGAAAAAATGTTGTCCCCCACTTCATGTAAGCTCAGCGCAAGCTATAGACCAGGGGTGTTGAACTCCAGGCCTCGAGGGCCGGTGTCCTGCAAGTTTTAGATATCACCCTGGGTCAACACACCTGAATCAAATGATTAGTTCATGACCAGGCTTCTGGAGAACTTTGAGAAATGTTGAGGAGGTAATTTAGCCATTTAAATCAGCTGTGTTGGATCAAGGACACATCTAAAACCTGCAGGACACCGGCCCTCGAGGCTTGGAGTTCGACTCCTGTGCTATAGACTGTATTTAAAAGATAGACACAGTCAAAGTAGTGTCTGTCATTGGATTTTGGACGACCTTTTTTCTGAGTTTAGCATTTGGATCGTTGCCATCTTCTTTTTGTGTATCCAAAAGTGATCGTCATGAATACATTTGGACCTAATGGTAGAGTGGTTAGCATATTTACTTGGTAACGAGAAGGTTGCTGATTTGATTCTAGCCAGAGCCTCAAACCCCCTTTGTGGTTGGGTCAGGTAGCAACCCCCTGTGACAAAGGAGCAGTCAAAAGCAGCTAAACTGGACCCAGACTGTTGGAATAGTTAAACCCGCAGAAGTTCAATTTACCAGAGAATTTAAGTCAAAATGTAAAGGTGGACGTTTTAAAATTGGAGTCTGTTGTGGTTTCTTGTGTGACATATTGCGAGCATTGCTTGAGAATTCGTCACATCCAAAATAGCGAATTGGATATTGGACAAAGAAGGTGCTGCAACAAATCCTCCTCATGATTGCTTTGGTCACTTGTAATTTTAAAGTTGGCGACTTGACT